TTAACACTATGTTGGATAAACGGCAATTTCCAGGGCTGAGAAATGAAGCCAATGCAGAATTGTTAAATCCTGCTGTTCCTCAAATGGTCACTTGAGACTGGCTCCAAAAGGGAGTCAATCCTCAGACTCCAATGTTAAAATGCCCAACTTTACAGGAGAAATAAACAGAGCGGGAGGGTCCCACCACAGGACACTGGCCGCTAGCTGTCTAGCAAGCGCCACTCACGCACCACCTCTTTGCCCATTTTTTGGCTTAGCCATAGCAGACGGAGTGAAGCACTACCACTAAAGTGACGGCCAGATTGAGTTTCAAAGCCACTCTTAAGAAAACCACAGAGGGTTCATCCATCTTTTATATACAGTCAATGTGTTGGATATATCATAAACAGAGACTGAGGCAAGCACAGAGGAGAGTTTGGAGCCTCTGTTCTCCTGAAGCATCTCTGTGATCAATCACTTGATACAGGTATCAGGACATTTTACATCGAGACAGTCCTGTTGACATTTTGACTGTGTGCGTTTTGGTCCGAGGTAACTCAGAGCCATTGTTTGTCATTTTGTTGCAATATCGTTATTTTACTAAACATTACCTAAAGCAAAAATTCCTCCCCAGGCAGTAATCCTGTGACCGTTAAACATACAATTACACCCAACAGCTGTCACACAACAACTAAAATAATTACCAAACGGGTCAAACAATGACTCCAGATGCCAAACGGTAAACCTGTAAAGGAGTTTTTAGCAAGTTCAAGATGTGTTTACAGTATAAAACATGTCCTTTGGCTGAACAGGGACTGGTCTAATATTAGTTTCTAGGTCTGGTGACTGGAACTTTCAGACAACCAGAGGACACAGAGCAGCCATGTCTGGGATATTTTCAGACTTGATGGAGGTGGCAGGAACAAGCGGCACAGTCCAAATCACGACTTCCCTCCCCTTGTCCTTCTGCTAGTGTCCCAAGGAGAATAGTTATACAGCTGACTGGTAATACATTTAGGATACAGCACTGCAGCATCTGTCTTCTTGATGTGTGTCACAGTTGAAACTGAAAGACAGAATGGGGTTAGGAGAAGCAGATGCCTTCATCTGTTTCATCTGTGGAGAAGGCAGTTCAGTCAGGGGGATTTTCCACACTCCTGCATGTCTTGCATTCTTAGTCTCGTTCTGCCTTTGCATTGTAGCTTTAGTCTCTTGTTTGGATTCCTTATTTCCTAGAACCAGACTATCTGGCACTAACACACAGATAGGACTCCGCCAAAAGGAATGCTTCACATCCGGATTCTCGCACACAGACACGAATCTGCACATGAAAATATCTGTGTAGTGCATTAAGAGCCTATACATAATAGAGAATCAGCTCACTCTTATTGCTAGCAGAGGAATATAAGCATATTAAATGAACACCTAAAGTATTTGGACAGTTTTTAGCTATGTGCCTCAAAATATAAGATTTGAAATGAAACAGTGGCCAGGCAGTTTAATCACCAACTTTCAGTTTTAACTTGATGCTGTTTACATCCAGTGTGGATGTACAGTACAGGCACTGTAAGTGGCACCCAGTGCTGATGTGAACACCCTCAAACACCATTAAAGCTGTAGTTCAACGTTTTAACCTCAGTTGGTTTAAATGTAAACCCAGTGTGCTGGATGACAGAGGAGCCAAAACAGCTGAAAATGTGTCACTGTCTAAAACCTGCATTATACATTCAAAATCAGACCTCAACGCCACAGTGTTGTCATGACTTCACTTGGTTCTTTGTGACTCATATGTATCTGTTCACTTCTCATCTCTCCTTGAACATCACAGGCACAAGGCAGAACCCCTTCTGTACAATGTGCTGAACTTGGAAGCCCACAGCTTCTTACATCAACAATCTGTATTAGGGGGCGCGCCCTGATGACCAAATGTCTGAAAAAAGCCATTTGATTGGCAAAGTAGTGTGTGATATTATTAAATAAATGGATAATACTGGTCCCAGTCATGTGTACTGCATGAAAAAAGCCATTTGATTGGCAAAGTAATATGTGATATTATTAAATAAATGGACAATACTGGTCCCCAGTCATGTGTACTGCGGTGGGATAAATATAATGCCATGTCATTATTTGCTTCTTCTGATACACACACATTTTAATTTCACTGCAGTAATGACTCAACCTTCAAATTTCCACCCTATAGAACAGCACGTTTCAAGATACTTCAAACATGAGTGGTTTCACATGTGGCTAACCTGTGCATCTCCTGCAAAACATGAACACATCTCATTACGGCACACCCTTCACCACTGCACTGCTCACAATTGATCCCACACAACGTTCCCCCCTGTGCTATTTCAGGTTCCATTATTAGGCAGTGACACTAGGAGGAGCCCACAGGATTCTGCCAACTGCTAATTTAAGGGCAAGTGTGAAAAAAAAAAAAAAAAAAAAAAAAAAAAAAAAAAAAAAAGGGGGGGGGGGCAGTCACACAAATTCCCCCTGATTACATAAGAACTCCTCCTGATCCTGTTCACTAAAGGCTTGACAGCCAAAACTGGTTGATTCACCCATATCACACAACAGACCAGTCTGCTGAGGCTTTTTATCCTCAATATGACTGTGACGAAGCAGCTCATCTTTTTTACTTAAAACAAAGTTTGTATAATGGCTCTCTAACTGTTTAAAGCATTACTTCAGTGTCTGAAACATTGTGTGCCTCCAGTGAGCAGTCACATCCATCTAAAACACCTCTGAATATGATAGAAAAAGCTAATCTTAAAAGAAAAAGCTTCTATTGATCTCAGCTGGTCCCAGCTTAGCTGCTCAGGTATAGAGATTAAAGAGGATGGCCAAACAGAGGCGACTGTCAAGGAGTGGAGAGCACGGAGACAAAAAAGCCAATATAATGAAAAGGAGGATTAGAAGATCTCCAAAAGTCCTGACAGCTGATTTGCTCAATGCTGCACCAGGCTCTCAGCAGTTCTAGTGCATCTGGTTCCCAACCAAGAAATGAAAGAGGCTTTCAGCTGTCTTGCTGGTATTGTTCAAATACCTTGCTCAAGCATGTTTTTATGTTTGCAATGGGCATTCTCCCCCTTCCCCTTCATGTGAAGGTCATATTCAGGTATCATAAAGGTAAAATCCCCCTCAAGAGCAGCAACGCTGCAAGTTTAAGTCATATTTGGAACTTCATCGCTATCTGATACAGCTGTGCACATTACATACATTATCACAGCTGAGACAGATGTTACACTTTCCACTTAAGCCATGCATGAGGAGTGTTGGCACAGTGGTGGCTCTAACTTATTGAAACAAGCTGAAAAAGCAACTTTGGCTCATTCTCCATAAGTATGTCAGTCTGACACAGTGTAAAAGCCTGATGTCAGTGCTTCTGCCATGAGTCACAGCACATATGGGGACAGCCTCTCCCAGATTTATGGTTATATACACACATACCAGCCAATTTATTAGGTACACCTGTACAATTGTCTGCACTTCAATGCAACACTTCCACCTTAACTTCTGTTTATGAAGCTCCAAATGTTACAGGACTACATTATATTTAGAGCTGTCTCTATATTTTTGTCCTCCCCAGCTACATACATGAGAGGGTCAGAATATTAGGAACACCTCTGAATACAATGTAGTCCAGTACCACACCACCTTTAACTATGACCTCAATTATAAACATATAATTGAATTTATACATTTATGACAATTTCACCAAAAACTGAAACAGACTGAGCTTCATAAACACAGATGTTAAGGCTGAAGTGTTGCATTGAAGTGCATACAATTGTACAGATGTACCTAATAAAGTGGCCGGTGAGTGTATATAGTAAGTTTTCAGAACATGGCTGTTTAAAGACACACCAGTTCGCTGGTCAAGACTCCCACGAATAGGGTGGAGCACAGTTTTCCTCCTGCTTGATGCAGAGCCAAAACATGCTGAGCTCGCTCTGTGAAGCCCCTTGTGAGCAGGAAGGAAGTTTTCTGTTGTCAGAAGGAGCAGGTCACATTGTGAGCCCCCTTCAATTTCTAGAAGCAGGCAACATGTCCATACACAATGAGATTTAAAGATCAGACCAAAGCTGGGTGAGCTGTATGACGAGTTTCACATTGGCACGTCTCCAACATGGGTATATCTTGTCTCAACCTGAGATACTGGTCATGACTGAGTGAGCAAACCTGCCATGGGTCTTGAAATGCAGGATCACGGGATCACATGGTGCAATTGCACATATAAATCTGTAGCCGCACAAGGTGGACTCTTCTTGCACTTTGTGCACCTGAGCTGATCTCATTAAATATTTTCTTGATTTCAGAAGTTTGTTGATGCATCTTTGCAGAAAATGAGCGTCGCTGCACCTGTGCGTAAAGATCTACGCAATGTATGTGGAAAACATCCTCTGGTGGAACAGCAGCAGACAGTAGATAGGAAGAGATACCAGACCGCCTATGAATGCATCATGTTGCTAGTGAGCTAAACATAACATACGGAGGGGGATGGGATTGGATGGGACGAGTGAGATTACCTCATCTACCGCAAATTATATATTATAACCCTGATGACGGAGCTCGGTGCCAAAAAAAAATGACAAACACTTTTTAAAGCAGCAATCTGCAAGCAGCTGATGGTCACCGGTGTTATGGTTTTATCACGAAATGATCTGCAAATTGATCAGTCATCACACTGGTTAAAATCTGGTTTGGGAGCGAGGGTTAAGGTTGTGGACAATAACAAGGTTGCGTCAGATTTATTATTTGTGGTCCGTCTATATCCGCACCTCCTAATGGATTATTCATAATTCAGCAGACAAATTCATTCCCGACCACGCTCTCTGTTGCTTTACCCTAACTGCATTGACACTGTTTCTCGCCCCCTAAATGAACCAGACAGCCATAAAGTTGATACTATTATTGTGTTACAATGTGTTAAAGGACAAGAATGACAAAGCCCTCATGCAGTTTTCCATACCAGACAGATACAGCTCGCAGGTAGAATGGACTAGAACACTTACATGTTGTTCCTGGCAGAGTATTTTCCTCCATTTCAGCGGCAATGCCTTCGCTGTCTGTTCGTTTGTTCATTCAAATATGCGAGTTCCGGCTCTTCCCCTCCAGCAGTTCTCTCATTCCTCAGGCGGAACGTGGGGAAACTTTGAGTCACTCCAGTTGCACCCGATGTCCTGGACGCACCGGGAAGCAAACCGTCCTGAACGCGTCCAATTACAACGATTAAAACAGAAGCAGACTGTTCACGGAGGCGCCGGTGGCCGCGGCTGCTCCACGGAGGAGTTAAATAAAAAGGTATCAGGCGGAATCTGGGAGAAAGGAAGCAGCGGATGAGGAGTGGGGGAAGTTTCCCACTATTCCGAACCAAGTCTCCCACTGGTCTTCAGATCGGACTGTACCATTACCAAGAGGGGGGTGTGTGGCTGTTATCGTTACCATTTTTTCATCAAATAATAGTTTAACATTATCAAAGACGTGTAGAGTATTGCCTGTCAGTGCACATTTATTGTCATTTTATGGTAGCAAGCACAGTAAAAATAAATTAATTTCTTCACGTAAAAAAAACTCCGTCAACCTGTTTGGCTTACCCTGCCACAAAAACGCTCACATGTAGTTTGTTCACATTAACTAACTTGGAAAACGTGCTGTTTTGTTTACGTTGCTTTTGTCTTGTTGAGTTACTTAAAAAGCATTTTAACATCAGTTGAAAAAAATAACCTGAGATTGTTGTAACCTTCTAGCAAAACAACAGCATGAAATGAATTCACATTTTTTTGTTGTGGAAATAATATTAAAAAAATAAGTTTTCTCTGTAGATTTTATATGCTTTAAGTATTTCAAAACAGCACCAAAAAGTGTGATTGGAGGATCCTAACTTTGCCACCTAAATATAGTAAGCAGGAGGATGGTTTTCAAACTGACAAGTTGGGTGCAGGGTCAGGACAGAGGCAGCATAAAAAGGAAAAAGGTACTCCACACTAAATATTGTAACCTCCCAAAAATGGTTTCAGTGTTCAAGGTTGTTATCGGGCACTGCCTATTCATAGGTTTGTATCAAAAACTGTAGGGAGTGTACAGACTACCTTGGCTCTTTTGTCACATAAATAGAAATCAGAAAAAGTCATTCTTTTAGGCACTTTAATAAGGATTTTCTAGAGGCATTTTAAAATAACTGTATGGTTTTTCTGTTTCTATGTTCTACTGTTTTGTTGTTTTGGATAGTGGATATTTGATATGCCAATCAAGTTACTCTACCCAAGGTAGCGCCACTAACTTGTTCTGATTTGTTTTAAATCAGAGACAACACAAACCAGTGACTTAAAATGGATCTTTGTTACATAACAGATTCAAGAACACCAGAGTACCTTCTTATCTACCACCTGTGAATTTCTCAGAGCATCTGCCAAGGTGGGGGCTGGGCCAGGAGCCAATCGGCACGCTTGAGAGTAGACCCCAGCGGGGCTCCTTTGTGCAGCTGTTGAGTGTTCTCTCAAACCCCCAAGAGCCACCTGTCACTGCAACTGGAAAGATGGGGATGTTGATGGAGGTGGGGGTTGGTTGGTTTTGCAGAACTCAAATCAAAAGACTGACTATTAAATGTGTATGTCTCAAAGTCTTGTAATCAGTCTTCTTAATTGCTCTTGATTAATTCAGATGAAAACTCAAATTGTTTTGATCCCAGTGCAGTAAAGTTATTAAACTGTGTTGATTCAACAACAGTCTATCACTATGACAAATAGGTATGGTACCTCATTTAGTGGAAAATTCCTTTCAATTCAAGGAAAGATTCAAGCAGAACAGGAAATGCCTTTAAGCCCTATGGCATTGGGAGATGTAGTACAAACTCAGATTATGCAATAAATTGAGTGCAAGAACATAAGCTAACAAACGATAAGAGGGTTAAAATGTGGAGAACGGTGATGAGAGTGTTGCTGT